ATCGTGACCCACCATGTGGTGCACGTCGTCCCTTATGTGTTAAGAAAGTTAAAGTCAGCCGTACTGTTGCCCTTTGTATTTTCTAGTTCAGTTCTTTCCACGTTCAGTTCGCTAGAAGTGATATCCAAAAATGTAGCAAAGAGCGTCTACTTTTGTTTTCGGAGTGAAAATGTAGCGCGGAAATGATTTGACATTTTCCCATGAAGAATGCCCCAGAACCATTCTGTGTTGGCGTTTTGCTATAAAATTCGTATCCATCAGATATTATTACCGTACGGCATTCCTTTCAACAATTACACCAACAATCAAACACCAACGTTTAAAAATGAATAATTTCCTTCAAAATGTGTGGTCGTTTCGCTGCGAAATTCGATCCGTTAACGATTATTATGCATTGACGATGGAGATTGCGCTCAGTACTATTTTGAGCATGGTTAATATAAAAGGAGGTGGGCAGGTTCCATGGGTCCAGCTACCACCCGATTCAGTAGACCTTCAGTAGGGGGGGGGTTACAAGGCTTCTGTCAACCAAAGGGTGAGAGCGTAGCTGGAAAAGCACACACTTTGTGTCTTATTGGGACTAAGCCTTTTGAAGAAGATAAAGAAAGAGGAGATGCTGTGATAGTGTGCACTTGTGAGAGCTCCCAGACATCACTACAAAACGCTGAACCGCCAAGGCTCACGGTTGACAGATGTCCTGAGACCTCATTCACTTGAAGGGTGTGCGGCAGTTGCGTCCTAAAGTAACCCATTTTTCGCAGGGGAGGGAAGCTTCGGGAACTCCAAGGACTAGGATCCTCGACTCTGCGCAAATGGTTCTCTGTACAAGGCAAGTAACTGTCGCACTAATTTTTGCTTGGTTGACTATTTCCATTGTTTCTAACATTTGTTACAGCTACTCTTTGACCAGTAACTATGGAGAACCATCTAAGTGACATGAAATTTCTATACCCTTCGCATGGAGGAATTTTGAAAGCAGGCAAATTTAATTAGGATTTAAGTGGGAGATTTCGCTAACCGACAAAGCAGCATCTACTCCGTGGAGTTGCCATGGAGCCTAAAGCTTTTCCAAGACAACACAGAAAGTCGCGCGCTCCCCGTTTGTCCTCATTGGCACTGTGACCTCTCCTTTCAGACTTCGTTCTTTCCTTATTCACCAGTTCTGTCCTATAGCCGCTGGCCCAGTCTCATTTGTGAAGTCAGCGGAGGTGATGCGCATGTACCAAAGGGTACCTTGTTTAGTGTAGGGTCTTATCACAATCATGATAATCAGCTACCTCAACAATGGTTCCGATCTCATTTATTAACGGTTGATTTCTCCACCCCGACCCCTCCCACCCCCTCCTTCCGGCTGGCACTGTGCCACTGCTGCTTATGTGGAGTGACCAAATGTACTCGGGGGTGTTTATATCATATCTAACACAGATCTCTTAGCATAGTTGTTTTTCTCATGGTATTTGCTAGTCGCGTTCAAGACTGAAGCTAAAAGCTGAGCATGTGCCTCTACAACATTATTATGAGATGGCTCAGTAAACAAAACAAAAATAGGCAAGCTAATAAATGAACGAAAGCTGTCAACCCCTCAGCACTGCCTTTTTGACTGGCCCTTTAACTCGATATCAACAAAAGCTTGTGCTACTCGTGGAGCTGTAGTCTTCTCACCATCAGCGATATCATGATGCTTTGACTCTATTTCTTTGATGGAAACCATTTTTGCAGGTTTATCAGGACAATGAAGTTCACTATTTTCATTGCATGGTTCGTGGCCATCATGGTAAGTACTACTGATTGTTCAAACAATTGCACACTCAGCCCATGAATCTTGGAAGAAATGGAAGGCTCCGGCACGTGTCCTGGCATCAAATACCGGTTGAATGTCCTCGCCGTCATCCAGGCCGTCTAGCTAGGAACCATACACTGATACTAGCCTAGTCTGATGATTCTATTTTTGACATCACCTAGCCCTTACAAACTTCTCCTATTTTCTAAACATTTACGCGTTGCGACGGTTTTGTAGCGTCGCAAACCGTCGCACCGTCATAACTCCCTCGAAAGCGGGTAAAATGAAAGGATCTTCACAGCAATGGACTCGTCTCTCTGTGGCGAGTCTAACCATGTGCAAAACTACTGATTTGGTTGAAGTTGTAATAAGTTATGAAAACTATTGTCGATCCCTCGTTTGACAGTCTCGCCTCTCCTGATTTCCACTATCTCTCCAATCGGGACCAGCTCTCAGGAGGGAACGGTCAACGGAATCGTGCAGTCGTTGCGCCGCCGCGCGCAGCCACTTGAGCGGCGTCGCGACGCGACGAGCGAGGGATTGAGGGCGCGGGATTGTTTAGGTTTGTCGGTAGGAGCAGCGAATTTCCTGCAGTCGACAATAATCTATGTGGGGCGCGGATACCAAATTCCAACTCCCATGCTCTGGCTTTTCTTAGAAAGTGGCGTGAACAAAATTGTTTTCGATTTCATAATAGTAATGTTGAAAAACGCAAAAGGAGAAAAGGTTTGAAGAAATTGAAAATATGCGCGCATGGATTGAAGTTGAATATTTTTACAGAGCGTTCCTCTAACGCCTAATGAGGATAACGCACACAGAAACTCGTCCACTGCAGTTGCAACGTCGCGGCCATGACCAGCAGCGCGGGGATCCAAACGACTCTGTTGACATACACCCGCTCTTAGCTCCCGCCTTGATGATTTCATAACGCCTTCCCGAGCCACGGTCAACCGTCACATTGCAACCGATTTTGAAAGTCTTGCGACCCCTTTCCCCTTGAAGAGTCTCGATAACACCCCGCCTTCCCCCTCCGCATACCGTGACAACTACTTGAGATGCGGCAACGTGCGGCTCCGTTGCGTGCTTTTCCATTGGCGCGCACAGTCCTTTACCCGTTGCGCCGGGAAGCGACTGATCTAACCACCCAATCAGTAATTATAATGTTCTTCTGCCAACGAGTTTCTAGATGGAGTCCTATTACTGGCCTGACGTTTCGTTTCTCTCGTTTGGGTTTCGGTTCTTCTCCCCTAATGTTCCGTCAGAACAGAAACATTGGGGAGAGGAGGCCAGTGGCGGTTTAAAGGAGGTCTCCCAGCCCTCGAGCCGCGTTTATACTTTGAGGAAGGCTATCGTGGAGAACTAAGAAAGCCCCACCTAAAGCCTCATTGGCAGAAGAAGAACATTATAATTACAAAAATCTACGAGAGGCTGGAGTTTGCTTCCAGTAAGTGATTGTCCAGCATCTGGAACTCTTCTTGTTAAAGTTGAGGGTCAAGAGTTCATTGGGATAAACACTTTTCACAAGTCTCTCTCCAAATGTAAGACTACTAGTTGTTTTCTCCCCGAATTTTCACTTATTCTGAAAATCGTCCCGTTGGTCCTTTTCTTGCGCACATTTACACGCTTCGTGTTACAAATTTTTAAAAAAGCTGACTCGTTTGACTTTAGTAGGTTCGACAAGGCGAATGTCTCAATATTCAAACTCCCACATTTCAATCATTAGAGTGCTGTTCAAATACGCTTTCACCGCACAAACAATGCATTTCTAATAATCACTCTTTCCTCCTTTATGAGCTACCAGTTGGCGCCGCACGCGTTGCGGCACACACAGCTCAGTTCTGCAGTGATATGGCCGATGTCATAGTTTGCGAATCGAGCGATTCGCTAGCGAATCGCTCGATCCGAGCGTTGCGCCAGCGAATCGAACGTTGCACCAGCGAATCGAACTTTGCGCCAGCGAGTCGAACGATGTACCAGCGAGTCGAACTAGGTACCAGCGACTCAATAGTGGCGGGACCCAACGTTCAAAGGAAGCCCGCCACTTTCAAACAGTGTCACGTGACAGTGGACGCTGTTTGAAAGTGGCGGGACTTGACAGTGGACACTGTTTGAAAGTGGCGGGCTTCCTTTGAACGTTGGGCTGGTACCTAGTTCGAGTCGCTGGTACAAAGTTCGATTCGCTGGTGCAACGTTCGATTCGCTGGCGCAACGCTCGGATCCAGCGATTCGCTAGCGAATCGCTCGATTCGCAAACTATGACATCGGCCTATGGGTTGGTGCGGCGTAAACTCTCAACTTTGGTCCGCGACACTACGAATATTTGACTGCTAAGCTAGATTCTATCCGCTCCATCCACCGACGGCTTCTGACCTCTTCTTCTTCGTCAACCATTGTCATTGACCTCTAACCACTTTTTCCCGGTCTTCAGGAATTCTTGGGACCGAATTATAACTTTGACGCAAACTCCGCCCGCATTGGCCCACGTCCCACCCACCAATAGCAGTTGACCTCCCTTCCGTTGTGAGACTCGATCCACTTTTTTCCCGGTCTCCAGGACCTCTTGGGACCGAGTTATAATGTTTTGTGGATAACCCCGCCTTTTTTGGTGCATGCCCCGCCCACCAACAGCAGTTAGCTTCATTTCCTTCGTTGACCTCTATTCACTTCTTTCCCTTTTCTGTCCCACGGCTTTTTGGGTTATAAATTTGTTAACAAACTCCGCCCAGTTCTGTGCACCCAAATTTAGCCTTCAACCTCTCCTTCTTCTCTAACTTCTATTCATCTTTTTCCCGCTCTCGAAGACTTCTCGGCACAGATATGGGGACTTGTAGAAAATGCTATGTACTTCAGGACACGCTTTTTCGTTGCAGACTTTTCCATTGATTACGCGACTATTACTCTCCATGTGTTCTCTGCCGCGGAAGGCCAGAGCGCAGACGATTAGACCGACGTCACACTCAGCGACGGACAAGCGAATGAGCGATCGCAATCGCTCCATCGCTTGTCCCTCGCCGAGTGTGACATCGGTCTTAGAGAACAGCGCCTGGGCAGCTCCAAAACCCAAGAAGGAAGGTGACAACCTTAGGACTAAGCCTTGGAGGGAGAAGGGACTCCGGAGTGGGTGAGCCAATTACATTGTGGCAAAGTTTGGATGTGTCAGATCACAATAATCATAAGCCGCTGTTTAAGCGAGAGAGCGCAGGCGAGAGCATCGAGTCGACGCGGTTTGAAAGGACTGAGTTCAAGTTGTCCGTAGACCTTTTCCATTAGGCACTGCTTTTTTAGAACGCCCCGCCCACCGAGGGTGGGTTTCCCTAATTCGATCTGACTTACCAATGCGCACCTTTTCCCTAGTTTCGAGGCTGTTTTGTCATAAAACTTGAAATCTTGGTCGTCAGTACAGTTCATTTCGATGCACGCCACGCCCACTGTGGGCGGGCTCCGCTTAGCTGATGTGTGTTTTGTACTTCGCGAGACCTTGCCCACCCATCCCACACTTGACCCGGTCCCTCCAGGTGGATCCCAAGGAGCTAGGGAATTTCGTAATTGTATATGGAGTGAACTACTACCTATCCAACCAATTTCCAAGTTTCGCACATTGTCAGACTCGCCACAGAGAGACGAGTCCATTGCTGTGAAGATCCTTTCATTTTACCCGCTTTCGAGGGAGTTATGACGGTGCGACGGTTTGCGACGCTGCAAAACCGTCGCAACGCGTAGATGTTCGAAAATTAGGAGCAGTATCGTAGGTTCAATCTAATATGTATCAATGCCCTTATATTACTCAAATTACAATATTTCAGATTGGATATAGCCACGGATACGCAACGTGGCCTGACATTGACATCATGTCTTTTGGCAAGAAGAAGTAAGCACTACTTCTAACTTCTTCTTCCGTCATTGAATAAATGTGCATTCTTATGTTGGACGTGCATTCTCACCAGTCGAACAACTTTCAGCAAATTGTACGAGACAGCTCAAGCAGACAACAGTAGCAGATATCATGAAAGTGTTATCGGCACAATGCTCCGAGTGCTTGTTTCGGTAGCAATCATCTATGTCCTCGGGCGAAGAGCTCAAAAATATGACAGACTAGGTCATAGTGTGGTGAAAAGGCGCCCGCTGGCTCCATATTGGTAGAAAAAGTGTTGCGGTGACATCATCGCTGGAACTATATAATATAATAGTACTCCTGATCTGAGATCGTACCTTGATACACGTCCATGGGGCAAAACCATCGGCCTTCCTATCCTATATTATATATTGGGCATTTCAGAAAGTTCTGTCGTTTTTCGACCCCGAATTTCAAATGCATGTATCTCGGCTTAAACCAAACCTTTCCGGTTGAAATAAAAATCGTTTGAATGCGCTAACCTTCCGCTATAAGAAGACGTTTCAGTGGGTACGTTTGTTCAGAATGCTGGAGCCCTGGAGGCGATGAACTGAGGGAAGGTCGTTTTAGCATCGGGTTGTGTTTTGAAGCATTTCTCTTCAAGGGAACTATCGAGGCCCCGAAAAAAAGTGAGAACTATCGAGGCCCCGAAAAAAGTGATAGTTGATAGCCAGAGGTATACTGAGTAGAATATCTGCAGCACCCCTTCTTAGCCTAGCTGGACCAACTTGTGCAGGGTTGGTTGTGCGACATGCGTGTAGGACAACTGTCAGAGATGTGTCCGTCCCTTTATAATGAGAAATGCTGACCAGGAACGGATGGTTGGTCGAAGTGGCCATATGTAAGAGACCTACACCGGTGGATGCGTTTTTGGACGCTGATCTCGAATCTGCTTTCCAAATCTGCCAAACGATTTTCCGAATGGAGTTATGAAGGAAAGTAGTGCAGCGGTAGTAGTCCGGGTTCACGTGCGAGACGTCGTAGGATCGATTCCCTGGCGGGTTCTCTTTTTTGCCTTCGCTGCAAAATGATTGAAAAA